TTTTATTTCTGCCCAGCTTTTTCCAATAGATTTGATTTCATTATCTATTGTTCTCCTCCAAGACATGGCAGGTCTCCCTCTTTTGCGCTTTCCTTGCGGATAGTATTCCATGGCCATGCGAGTTATGTTATGCGAATCTTTCCTCAGAGTATGACCGATCCATTTCCATTTTCTGCGGCAGATTTCAGTGCCTATTTTTCTTGCTGATCTCTCTCGGCCAACAGAGAGAATTAATTCAAGCAATTAATAGATTCACTAATATACGTCATATGGGATCTACCTTTTAACACCGAATTCGAATGGCGCTGGCTGTTATGCATATATAATATGCGCGCAGATGGGATTGAACCACTCAACACCTTGACGCTTATATTTAAATTGAAATTCAAAAACAGGACATTATTACATGTCAAACGACCGAACCATCAACATCGGTTTAACATTTAATATTAAATGCCAATTTAATATATCAAATTCAGTCGGTGTACAGTGTGGTTCTCTCGTCTTATAGTTAAATATATAATCAATAATTAATACGTTGAGAATGGCGAATAAGAGTCAATCTAAATCTGATAATATATTCTAATATTCTATATTGCGAAGAATATCCCGTAATGTTTGGCGTTTCGTCCCGGCTTCCACTACTGGACTCATCAGTAAGGTATTGTAGTGGAAGCCTACCTTAGACGCCGGTGTAAGTTATTAAATCGAGATTCTATATAAAGAGATATACGCGTGTCTCAGCACTTGCGAGAATTTGCGAATATCGATAGACCTCTGATGGCGGGTCGACGTAGTAATATTCTTCGCAATATTTATCCAAAGTGAGAAATAACGTTCTAATTATATATAGTCCCCCCAAATAATCTGATTTTTAAATGTCCCCTCTTCTTAATTGTTGCGCGCCGAAAGATTTTTCGGTCTTGCAACGCAACTCTAATAATCTGAAATATCCCCCCTCCTAAATATTGGCGCGCCGATGGATTTTCGGTCTTGAAACGCAATTAATCTAGAAACTGTAAATTTTTACTTAATGAAAATATATAATATATAATTTCAAAACAATTCGAGGTCCATCTTAACCATAATGTACATCATGTTCCCATAACATAGAACTTTTCTTTCAATTACTTCGATTAAACTTATACTGGTGAAAACCTAAATGAAACGTTTATTTATGTTATTGTATGATTCTTAATAAAGTTATTAGGTGTACAAATTAGTTCAGTCCGTTTTTTAGTGTAAAAAAATGCATTTATTTAAAAATAAAATGAATGAACAAATTAATTAAAGTATTGTCCATCGTTGAATCTAATAATTATGAATTACCAATCTTTTCTTATAACTCAAGATTGTTGATCTATTATGGCGGACAAAATATAAAAATTGTATAATTAAAAAACATATTTTGTTCTCTTCGTTTAACAGGGTTGAACTGTCAACATAAAAGGAAATGCATTTTGTAACATTCATTCATGACTTCTAATTTGAATTTCAAGATAACGTTAACTTTTTTAACAACAAAAATGTTGAAAAAAACTATCTTTTTAACATTATATGTTAATATATTTATATATCAATACAGTTATGTTCGTCGTGACAGTTAAACAGTTATCTCAATTTTATACATCGGACGATATGCACATGTACTATGATACTAATCTTTTACTTCATTTAATGTCAAATCATAATTTTACATATTTAAGCCATTAAACATAGTTCTTTGCGAAAACAATCGCTTTATAGTCAGCAGATCTCGGATTCGATCCCCGACCTTTATTCCATATATATTTCGGTTTATGAGAAAACAAGTAGAAAGCTAATAAATTACGAATAAAAGTGTATCTTATCAACAGTTCTGTTCTGTTATGTGGATCAGTTAAAACATGAAAATGAGACGAATATTATATTATTGACATGGATTTTTTTCAATTTTTGTACTCTGAGAATAATGAGAAATTTTTGCAATCAGTCAATCACTTGACGACGAACAATTTTCTCGGATTAAACATCTAATCTTAAGAAAAACCGTCGATTTTTTAACTTTTAAGTTTAAATTTTACTGCGTTATAATTTATGTATACCTGAATAGGATTTAAATACAAAATCGAAACATGTATTTTATTTTTAATTAATCACATATGTTTCAATCACATTTTTATTATTTTTAGACTCTTGTTTTTCCCCGTTATAACATATTATTATAGTTCGAATATTAAGAGTCCTGTAACTTCTTATCTATTTTTAACATTATATCTCAAGTACATTAGAAACTTGAGAGTGACTAGAATTTCTTTGGCTTACAGTATCGTTTTCAGCTTTCAAAAATCTATTAAAAAAACACCTTGTCCAATTTGAAGTAATTTTTGGCTGTAAACTAACTAGTGTTAGCTTCTTAAAAAATAATTATTTAATTTTTTTAACAAGTGATTTTTAAAACAGTAAAAATGGCCATATTTGACCAAAGCATCTTGGACCTTAAAAGAGATCCTAAAGTCATCTGTTATATAGATTAAACGCAATAATTTTCGTAAAGAATTTTCGTATATATTACTTTTACAGACTTAGTAATCCTTTTCCATTAAAGTATACACATTAGTACTAATTTGGTGCACAGATTTTATACTGACAATGAGAACGAAAATTTTTTTGAATTTGAGTTGTTCTTTATTAATATTTAGTTCGATGTGGAGTGTATAGCTGTGATATTTGCTTGATATATAATTCTGCAATCTATATTTATGAAATTGGAGGCTCCAGACTACTAGATTATACGAAGAAAGTAAGAAATAACGTGAATTGCGACTTACATATTCGACTTACATCTAATTCGATACGAAAATCTTTTACGAAAATTTTGGCGTATGCGTGCGATATTGATATAGTAGTGTCGATGATGTGTAAATTGTACATGTGTAAGGCTTATTGAATCGAGTTTGATTTCATCGCAGTTTGTTCTTTACTTTAGGATCCCCTTAACCCTAATCGGTATTTGTACGTTCAGTGGATCTGTACAAGTAGTACTTCACTACATTGTGAAAAAATGTTTATGAAATGGTTATGATTATTTAATAATTTTTAAAACCTTAGATAATTTTAAGTTACATAATCCTATTTTTTTGGATTTTGACTTTTAAAAAATAAAGAAAATTGTTCAATTACGTTGAACTTTAAGCAAAGACACATTAATTTAAAATACACTGAACACAAATATTAGTTTACAGAAATTTCGAAACTGATACCGATTAGAGTTAATAATATTTCCACGTGAATCTTACACTTTTCTGTTCAGGCAAACTGCATACTTATTATTCATCAGTATTGAAAATTCTTATAATTATGTTTCTGCGAATGAAACTGAATTATGAAATAGTTCAAATTACATTGATGAAAAGTTTAATAATGCTGATGCTAATAAACATCATAAAACGTTGAAAAGAATTTGTAAAAAATACATATACATGTATATGACTCGGCCATATTTATGACACTTTATATATGTGTCATAATTTAAACCTGAATCTCTTTAAATAGCGCAAGCATCTAACCAATTCAATCATTGAAGCAGTGGTGATATTTACATAATAATAATTAGTAAATGTTAGACGAAGACGCTTTTTTCAGAGATGACAGGTTTTACAGTTTCAAAATTCATTCAAGGAATTAAATAATAAATATCTTTTTTTTTTTCCTGATGTTAATATTAAACCAATTGATTAACTTCAATTTAACGGAAAAATCATGCTAAATTAATAGCAAATTATAATTAACGATAATAAAAATTAACGATAACAACATTCATCTATTAGATGACAACCTTTATATACAATATTAGCTAATTGTAATGAAATTCAAATAAATCTTATTAAAAATTGTGCAATTTCTGGATCTTAAAGAAAAAGAAAGAAAAAAACAGAAAATAGAAGGATTGTTATTCTTACGTCTTACGTAATTCTTCCCACGAAATCGAACATGCACTCATGAGATCCCTTGAACACCACGCACGCACATGATTCCATTTGTACTGCTTTCTCTTCAAGGATCACGAGTCCCTGGTGCTCCTGGCGAGAGAGACCGTAAGAAAGTGAATTCACGCGCGAACACCCGGAAGAAGCCAGTTTTTGCTACACTATTTACACAGGGGCTATGTACAATCGATTCGTAATACGTCTTGGTCAAGACTAGTCAGCTGACCACAGCGAAAGTCCTTCCGGTCTTCGTTGTCATCTATAACGATTATCGTTTGTCGTTCTCCATTTTTCGAAGTAATTCATTGGCCAAGCAAGTTTAATTCTGTTGCTAGAGCGACACTATTGATTATATCTTGCCGTCAGGAAAATGCTTAATCTTTCTTAGTCGATAAAATTCTTTCAGATCGATCGTCTTGAACGGCAGATGTTGGATTAAGAATGTCTTCTATAATAATTTTTTAAAGAAATAGTTTGTAATGGTTACGTTTTAGAAAGTATCAGCGACCTCCTCTTTTTATTTTTCCAAATTCCGTTTAATTAATTCATGAGATTTTTGTTCAATCCATTTCAGAATCTGCAAGAATTCTTCTATAGAAGAAAAGGAAGAAAAGACTCGAGGAGTAATTTTAGCATTATTTGCTAAAATTTTAGCAATTTGATGACTAGTGCTCAGTGTAATTTCATCAAATCCATGATGGTCATTATAATAAGGAAATAGTCATTAATGAAAATTTTGGTTGGAACACTTACTTCTTGATCAGAACGATTTAAGAAAATCTTTTTCCTCATTGACTTTATCACATGTACATATTAATTTTCGCCTTGTTAAATTCACGATCACCATAATCGAAAGAGACACCTAGTAATTATTCTCCTTGAACGCATCCAAATCATTTATTTTTCTGATCGTCGGAACCACGATTAATGATCTGGAAAAGCCTACGTTTCTGTCATTTTGTTCCGTCGAGTCCGCGGCAGCTATCATAGCAACTGCTCATCGAAGATAGATCAGAGCTACGCTCTATCGGGTCACAAGATGACCAACGGTCGCCGAAAGGATTCGCTTCCCGATGTTGGTGCCATTTGATATCCACCGTATGCTTGAGCCATTTGCGGAGTCAGCAGACCGCTAGCTTGAACTGATGCGGGATAATACGTTGACGGCAAATTCGCGCCGGGACTCGCAGCCGATGATGTCGATGTCGAACTCGCGCTGGACGAGCCTTGTTCTGTCCTTTCGTGTTGCTTGCTTGTGTCTGGCGATTCCGCGGGCGGTGATCTTGTGGGTCCGTTTCCGCCGACGACACTGTTTGGGCTGGACTCCTCGTAGAGTTTGTTGGGCTCGTAGCTGGGCCGATTGTATTCTCCAATAGCAGGTTTCTGATCCATGTATAGCTTCGACTGCTCGAAGTATGCCTTCGCGTCTAAGTATGTACGGTCCAGATAAGTCTTAGGATTGGAAGAATCCAAGTATTTAGGATCTGGATACATGCTCATTGCTAGAGTGCTGGGCGGCATATAAGCAGCGCGATATTTATCAGTCTCCATAGAGTACTTCATGGCGTCCATCGTGACTATCTATAACAAAAACAATGCAGTGTATAACAATTCAAATAATATTATTTTTAGATTCTTACATTCTGTGGCAATCGAACCAAATATATATATATATAATTAAGGAATGTTGGAGCCATCTGTATTATCGATAAAATTAACGTTTTTGACGTTTTCATTTCTATCCAATTTCTTCGTAATAATTTTACAGAATAAAAAATTCCATTTCCACGATTAAAGTATACATGCTAATGTATCTGCTTCTGGTGTTTAAAACTGGAAAAAATAAAAAATTACAGATTATTCATTTTTACCTTCAGTTTTAATCGGCGTATTAAGATAAAATGAATAAAGAAATCTGTAATTTTTGAAACTATTACGAAGAAATTCGACAGGAATAAAAACATCAAAAACGTTAGTTTTATCGACAATATACAGGCTGCTCCAGCATCACATTAACGAAAATTGATCTGCCTAAACAAATTTTCTATTAACGATGTATCGAACTTTCAAAAATCCTAATAAAATTTAAAGTGCTGTACTATTAGTTTGCTGTTAATTCGCCGATTCTTTGCCTGGTATACGTTAACCTTCGAGAAAACGAAAACTAAGAATGCGACGTCATCGCGACGAGCAAAAAGAGCAAGCGACAAATTTGACAGTCAACGCATTCGATTCGGTTGGCGCGCGCAAATCACGAAGTCGGTGAATTCGCGTCGCGACCCGGGCTAGAGATTTGTTCTACGTCGAAGACAACGCTGTCATTGGCCATAAATTTCGTCACGTTGGGCCAAGCACGTTTGGATCAGGCTGCTACAAGTTGAACCGAGTTGAACTGGGACCGGCCCGAGAGACTGGTACTAAAAAAAAATGAAAGAATAAAAGAAAAAAAAGGAGAGGCGGGAAGCAACGCGCATATTCCCGATTCTATAATTCGTGGACGAAGGAAGGACCGTGGCGGGATCCTTTGTCGGATCGTTAAGCGGCTTTGTCCAGATGATTTACATCCAGTCTTAGTAATGCTAAGTCTCTCCCGCCCGCTACGACCAATTGATTACAGCTCAGCTTCTTTCGCCTCAAAAGCCTTACTCGCTGCTATTTGCGAATCGCTCAGAAATTAAAAAATTCCTTCTCATCGCGCGATGTTGAGATATTCGCATAGAAAATCAGTTTGATTGCAACTTCGATTCCAATTATCACAGTCGACACATGTATTTTATTAATAAGTCGAAATAAAAAACGAATATATATACTTACGAATATATATACAATATATGTATATATTTCTTCTTCATAATTTATAATTTAATTGTTAAAACAATAATTAATTATCACTTTAGTATTACAATGCTTTTATCACAGTTTGTAATATGTTATACATTATTACACAAGCCTATTATTTCAATAATTGCGCAATTTTACAAAATATAAAATACAAATATTTGAAGTATTTAGAAAATTAACGGAAAGTATTTTATTAAATAAATAAAAGTTTATTACAGTTGATCGGTTTCGGCGACGTTGTCAAAACTCTCTTTTCCATTTCGACTGTATTCCAAACATCAATTTTTAGCCGAAGTTGATCATAATCCAAATGAAAACAGAATTTTCGATCGGACTTTCATTTTTATTCAATAGCATATTCTTGAATTTTTTTTAGTAGGTTGTATGCTTCGCCTTAAATTAATTTGGAAGACGGAATATAGTTTTAACAATTATACATATTATAAAATTTGGAATAATTGAGCAACTTTTCAATATGTATGATTATACATATATAAGTTAAATGATTTTAATCAAATGTGTGTGTGTGATCAAAAGTTCTAAGAAAATACTTATACATATAACATATGTATGTGTTATAAATGTAGTTATGTGTTCATTGTGTAACTATATCTAATTTTAGATACGTACATGCATTTATAGTTCTACATATATGTCATTTGTTTCTTTCGTCTGTTGTATAGTCGTGATAGTTCGTTCCGCTTTCATTCTATGTCGTCGTTGTCAGAGACTTAATTATCCAACGCGATGTTACTGTTAAAAAGGACAATGACACCGTACACTATTCGCCTCTGTTTTGGGTCACAAAAGACTGGTATTCTCTTTCGCGCCATGTGTCGTCGAAGTCGTGAACGAAGGAGAATGGGCGCACTTTATTTTCCAAATGGCCTCGGGGCGGTGGAAGAGCACAGAGAGCAAGAAAGTCAACTTCCTCACATTGCTGTATTGTACCCGCAGCCCTCGATATTTTAGTCAACACTTCAACATTTTATAAAAACTTGAAAGTTTCGAAATGTGATTCTGTTAGGTTATAAGTGCATGGAAAAACAGATTTGTCAAAACAATTAAAAGTTTTAGCATCATCTATGATGATGTCAGATGATATAGATGAAGCATATTAATTAATAAATGGAATATCAGGTTATTGCTTAACCACAATTTAACCAGATAATGGAAAACCGGGTCTATGTTTGTTAAAAAAATGACGGTAGTTTTGTGTATAGTTTTTAATTTAGCAATTGTTAAGCGTGTTCTTTTATTAAAGAAATCTAGCTGCTTCACAAAAATGTCTCTCTCTCTTTCTCTCTGTCCGTTTCTCACAAGTACCTTGCTCTATGCTGATTGTCGTTGTAACGGAGTTCAAACTTAGACACTTGTGCGCACATTTACTTGTTAAGAAAGTTCTCATTTACGTCTTTCTAGCTTACTTTTGGGTATGAGTATGCCTTAACCACAATAATCATCCATATAAACATTTATACACATCGAGTACATGCACACATCACGCATGAATATATCATTTAAAAAATTCTTAAATTTTAATTTTTATTATCTTAATCTATCTTTTATATTATTGTCATTATTGAGGGTTGAGATTTATCTGAAAACTCAATAAATTGATTTGTTTTCTGTTCCTATGTTAGATTGCACTAGAAATTCTCTTTATAGTACATTTGTAATGTACACTTTTGGAAAAAATTAATTTAGCTACAGAAAACAGACCTAATAATGTGCTTCGCTTTCAATATATTTTCTCAAAGTTTCTTTCTCTCTCTTTCTCTACAGCGTATTATAGATTGTATTAATAAGAAAGATTCTTCTTTGTACAACTTCTAATTTTTTGATACGAGAACCAAAATAGTTCTTTCTCTCTCAAGATTTTCTTTATAACGACTTCTAATTTTTTGATATGAGAACTAAAATAGTTCTTTCTCTTTCAAGATTTTGCAATGAGATATTTTCGCGATGCTAATACGCTAGAGAAAGGAAGAGCTCGAACTCGAGCGGGTGAAGATAACGCTGGAATTCTTCGAGCGTGCCGTTCGCCGCCGATGTCGCCAATAATGGTCGCTTGTATCACGCCGGTGCCTCGTTCCAGACGCGTCGGCCATTCAGCCGTTGAATGCAGAAATAACTAGCTATCTGTTTGTCTCCCGTAGCCAGCTGCGGAAATTCATACACAGACCACGGTCTCCGGTTTCTGTTTGCGAAGCCACCCGGGGGCTCCTTTGTTGCGACAGGGAATGCAACATACTAACACTCATCCTCCTCTCCCGTTACGTACCTTTCGCGCTTCCATACTCTCATCCTTCCTTCTTCCTGAATCCTCTTCGTACGCGCGCGCGCATTTCTCTTTTTCTCCTCCTTTTGCTGTATTTACGCGACGATCTGTCTCGCCAACTCGATATTTCCAGCCGCCAATTATCTTCAAGATAAATGCTAAATTTGTGATTGAGTGACTGTTCTCGCCGTTTTGGGAAAAATGTTGGATTAATATCTGCGTTGAAATTCGGCGCACAGTTCAAATGACTACAGATATCGTATATGTGAACGTGTATATGTACTTGCAAGTTATTTGAAGTATATGTGTGAGTAAATGAGATGGTGAAATAGAAATCTTGAAATCTCAACGTTGGTCAATTAACTTGCAGGTGACTGGCACATATACACGTTATTACATAGTATATATAAAAGATGAAAATATTTAACATTATTTTGAGCCGTTATAAGCTGTTATTTCTTATTTTCTAGAATAGCCGTTATTTCTAGAATAGCCGTTATTTCTTATTTTATAGAAATGTATGGAAATTATTATAAAATAATGACAAAAATATTAGTTTCTTTTTATATAAATATATACTTCAAATATTCAAGATAATTCATGTAAAGTTACATTATGATGTAGCAATTAGTTGTCCGTAAATAAAATACTTATTTGTTCTAAGTATTCGTAACTAATCGGTGAATCACACAATGAAACTTTGAATATTTAAAGTATTTATATAAATTTTCAAATAATCTATATCATTAAATAAAAAACGGTTCTTAAAAATTGTACAATGTATTAATACATTCATCTAAACACACACGTAAGGTCAATTAGATATTCAACTAATTGATAATCTTAAACATGGACATTTAATGCTGCATTCCTTGCACATTCTAATGCACTTCTAAGTGAATCTAACGCTATATTGGATCGATTGCTAAATAATACCCATATCGCTGATGGTAGCTTGAAATGAGTCGAAACTTTCGAACTTATGTAAGCGCTTACTCTCTAGATATATGAACAAAAATTAAAGGAATTACACAAAAATTACTGTGGAACTATTCTCACTTATCTAATATTTTTAAATAATTACACTTTTAAATCTTTAGAGTTGGAATTCATTTTTCTATTAAATAGATAAAGTGAATTTCTGTTAAAAACACACCTCCTCATGTTAAACTTATACATTATCGCTTACTTTATTCTCCCTTCTAGACGAACGGTTTTATCCCTCAACAACACCCTTCCTTGTTCAATAAAAATCCGTCATTCTCCCTTTTCTTGGTTTCTCTTGTTTATTTATTGTTTAATCTTTTATTCTATATGTAGGTATGCATGTCAATTGTAACTTCATACATTTTAATTTTTATTAGTATCTATAAGATTTGCATCTCGTGGATTGAGCGACATACGTTTCATCGAGCGATCCGTTTTAGCGTTAAACTAATGATTACATATTTTTAGTTTTTTTTTCTAAATTAATCATGTCCACTGAAAATAATTTAATGTTTAGACAATCTTTATAATTTCGATACATTTGTTTTAATTGTACTTCTGTCGTATCACTTTTTATGCCTGGCTCATTACTCTTTTTTGCTACTTATTAATTTTTTAGTTCTCTGAACCACTTAGATATTTTTGTTATTCAATAAAAAGTGTTGTTCAATTAAATATAATGTCGTAAAAACAAACTATTATATATATATATAATTTTACTCTCTTTTAGTCTTTTTTGAATCTAGACGCAGTGTAGCGTTGACATGCCGCATACACAAAGGTATGTTCTTTTTGACGATGGTGCATGCACTTTCTGTACCTAGTGCAAGGTGTAGAACAATTTACGTTCTATTTACCGGAACTGACATCATTGCAAAATAGTGCACGCGTTCTATTTCAACGGAACACTTGAAAATTGGTGCATAGGTACAAGAACTTTTGAACCATCTCTTGAGGCGGTGCAGTCGGTGCAGCGTATAGTACACAAGTGAATACGTATAACGAAAATAAAAAAAATGAAAATCGAAAGAAAAGAAAGCATTTTCTTAATAGATAATAATGATAATAATATTAATAATGATAATAATATTAATAAAAAAAATAATAATAATATTCATATATATAATAATAATATTAATAATATAATAATAATAATAATATAATAATAATAATAATAATAATATAATAATATTAAAACAATAATAATCGTTAAATAATAATATTAATTATAATATTTATATACTAATTCAATTGCGTTTACCATTATTATCGTGCAATGCAAGAAATGCACCGACTAAATTATCTTCATCCGATGTACTTTCATCGTCAGTTTCCATCCTTACAATTTTTTTGGTGCAACTTTATGTACCAGTGTATCAAATAGCGTTCTTTTTGAGAACTTGTACTCTCTGTACCGCGTGCACTGTGACGACATTTTGAACTGTACCATGCGTACTAAGTACAAAAAGTTCCTGCACTGTACTTTCAAAAAGAACATACCTAATTGATGACACGAAAAAAATAATTGACTCACCGGAGGAGTTGACCCTATACTAGACATGGCGAGACCAGCTGATTGTTGTGCCGCTGCTACGGCCATGCTAGCCGCTGAGAGCGAGCCGTAGGCCGCGGCGGGGGTGTAATAGGAGCCCATTGCAGCCTGTCCCATGCTACCGGCCATTCCTATAAAATAATATAACGATGTTCACAAATAAGATAGTTTATACATATGTATATAAAAAGATTTATGTAATTACATTTTTATCATGAAGACACGTGTAAAATATAATTACATAATTTTGTATGCATATATAGTTCTGCAGCTATGCAAATTGTTCTAAACGTTTGTTAATATATGACGCATGATTCCCCGATGTATCTAATATAAAATATATAATAATAAAAATATAACATCGAAATAAATGACGACATTAAATAATTACCTGAACGTAATAAATAAATAAATTATTACCTGTACTGCAAAGAAAATGCGGAAAGATGTGTGGAATCACATATGTAACTGGTAATGAGTAGAGTCCCTATACTAAGAGTCTGGCCAAGGTCTAGTTCTTTGGTCTAGTTCGACAAAACATGGCGTCGTCGTACATAACCAAAAACGTGATGTGATTGATGTGGTACTGCACTATTCGATAAAATAATGAAACGGTATATTACATTTCGCATAAAAATTGATTGCAACAAAGGACGATTACGAAATAAGAATTATATAGTAGTAAAACTATGGCTAGGCATGCTGCTATTAAATGATATAATTTACTTATATCATTTTAATGTATTTATAAGTAAATTAGAGGATATGTTTACTTATGAATACTATTAAAATTTATTTGTATTTGTATTTTTACATTAAATAAAATGTTAAAAATAACTTTATTATCTCATTGTTCTGTTCCTACTGATTGAATAAAGCTGATGCTGTTTAATAATAATGCTGCTATTAAATGATATAATTATTTATTTATGAATACATTAATTGAAATTATATTTGTATTTTCACATTAAAAAAATTGTTAAAAACAGCTTTATTACATTATTGTTCTATTCTTATTATTTCTATGATTCTTACTAGTTGAATTATACCGCGTCCAAGATATTAATTCGAGACACTTCATTGGCTTTGCCATATTTTGTCGAAACCAATAGGCTGGATGACAACCTTGGCCAGACTCTTAGTATAGGGACTCTAGTAATAAGTATATTATACTTTTGTATTAATTTGTTATATTATACTTTGTAGAAACAACGTAAAAAATTTTGATAGGTAAAACAATCATTTTCGCATCATGAAATTCTGGCTGCGGTCGAGTTGCCACTACGAATGCTTTGAAGTGTTTGATTAACCAATCAAAAGAAAGAGTTTTACAAATTGACCAATCAAGAAACGCTTCAAAGCATTCGTAGTGGCAACTCGACCGCAGCCTCTTTAACATCATGTGTATGAAAAAATAACGGAAGTGAATCACTGCCATCTAGATATACAGTATGGACAATTAAATAACAATCGTGACACCAATTGCACCAACCTAAACATTCTGGATTTCCCTAAACAATCAATGATTTATAAAAGAATAATAGATTTATATACAATAATAGATTTAGGGCCACTTTCACCAAGCTCCGATTAACTTAACGGGCATAGCAACTTTGCAGGATCCCAACTGAAGCTGATGTCGGAGAAAAATGCGAACTGAAGAGTTAAACATATTTCACTCTAATTATAATTAACTTTAATTTTACATACTATATTGAACACAAAAATAGGTTATGAACAAACAGCTACCAGATAGAAACCTTGCTACATAAATTAGTATTACGAATCTACATTTCTAATTTGCATTTTTTTCTCTGGAATACTGCAAAGTTACTAGGCTCATTAAGTTAATCGGAGCTTGGTGAAAGTGGCCCTTATAAGAAAAGCGCGATCGGCTTATGTTAGTATTGCAAAAGTACCAGAAAACGTATTAAAAATGACGTCTTCATATAAAGAGATGCGCACGAGGCGAGACGAGACGAGATTTCTGCGATCTCGATCTCGCAAATATCTTTGCATCTCGATCTCGGATTTTCGAGAATGTCAATATCTGATCTTGATCTCGATCTCGAATCTCGTCGAGATTAGTGGAAAATAGTTAGAGAAGTATAGAATTGTTAAAAATTTAACATAACTTTAAATTTTTAATAATTCTGTATTTTTTAAACTTTTTTCAATAAAAAAAATTTTTTTTATCTAAATAAATTAATAAAAATAATAATTATTATTAATTTAATTTATTTAAATTTAAAAAAAATTTATAGTGCCATGTAATTACTAATAGGCGAGATGTGTTCTAAAATTCACTGCCAGCGCTGAAAATCTATAGTTTACGTTATGTATACATTTTTAGCACTGGCTGTGAATTTTGGAACACAATTATAGTATCTCGTCGGTAATATAACGTATATTGTAAAGTTTCAGTACTGGTAGTGATTTTAGAACGTAGTCAAATATGCCGAATCGCGATTTTTCGAACTGAAGGCCATCTCGCAGGTTCCTTTATATCTATTACCCACATCGTGCATAAACATGCGCAAAATGCTATCCAAATCTGTTATTGTCTATATAAGTTTGTTTTTTATTCCTCTCTTCGCACTGAACTGATGCAAATAAATTGAATCGAAACAAATATACGTTTGATTCACTTATTGCATCATGTTCACTAATTCAGAGTGTGCAGGAATAAAGAGCAAACTTCATTACTTGTATATAAGGAGTTAAGTAGTCTATAGCAGTATAGAAGAACGTAGCAGTAGCAGCGGCACCATCCGTGCCGTATAACTATTATTTTTAGAATCTCTCAATGAAATAATAAAATATTTTGTCGAAATCTCGGCGAGATCTCGACGAGAATTTTAAATAATCTCGATCTCGTTAAGCTAGATCTCGGTATCGATCTCGAATATTACAAGTGATCTCGATCTCGAATCTCGTCTCGAAATCGATTGACGGTTGCATGTGAATGCTCCTTTAATTGTTCGTCGATTCATATTAAATAATGTCGACAGTTTTTTTTTTAAAAGAATAGAGACACTAATTGTACTGAAAATAAAAGTAATATTATTTTTATATGTTTGCATATAAGAATAATCTAAAATTTTGTTGTGCGGAGAGTATCAGAAGAAAATAAACGTCGAGATGATTTAGTGAATAGTAAATGATTATTCTTCAGCTATAAGAAGAGTCACTTTCTTTCGAGATTCGACAATGACCGCTAATGATCATTCGCCATATTTTCGGCGGAGATTGATATTTGGGTCTACTGCTTCTGGCAGCATGTTCCTTTTTCTACCATTTTGTATGTTTTGCCATTTGTTTAGAGAAAGAAAGAGAAAGAAAGAAAGAGGAGCGTGTACTGTGTAGCTTATCGATCATCGACAAAGCCTTCGATGAAGTCCTATTGTCGTGCGAGGACGATAGCGACCGAGAGATGTTGCTCATTCGCATCGTTTCAGCGAACCTATTCGAAGGAAGATAATTGGCGTTGAGCTCCTCAAGATTTATGATCGCTCAAAGATCACCAAAGACGGTATAGCCATTTTTAGGACCGAGATGAGATTCAATTCTTGCATGAGCGCGAAAAATTACATGAAGTCTAAAGTCTATGTAGCATACACAAAAAATAGACGGTGAAATACAAGCAATAAGCGAATCAGTCACAATCACAGTAAAGAATGTAGGATTATTACTTTACGTTCACAAGCTTTGTGTCCACGTTATTAGAAATTGGTGCGGTGAGATCTTGGACGAAGAAAGAATTTACCAATCGCATTGGTCAGGTGACTGCATTGTTAAAATTTGATTTGTTAATTCTTTCACTGTCTGAGATCTCGAAGCAATTTCGAGCATCGTGGATGCAGCCTTTTGTATCTTTATAAAATTCATGATGTACCTACTTACAAAAACGCAGTGAGATGTAAACAGTAATTTAATCGGTTAATACAGAGAAAATAGCCAATAGAGAGAGTATAGAGAACATGCCATATTCTGACATCCTACTGTCAGTATTGAGTATTTTTAGTATACGTGATGTTTATAGTATACGAGATGCTCTCATAACAGTTAAAATTTGGGAAAACGAAATCCCAAAAAAGTCATACAGTGAAAATCGACCAATCAGTATTCTGATTGATAAGGTGCTTTAACGGACGGTACGTGAACTATAGATTTTTATTTATAGTATTGGCAATGTATTATAACAAAAATGGCTGTAACTGAGTAGTGAAACGTGAATCGTAAAGTCGCTCATCGCTGATACATTCATTCTATTTCTTATAAAAAAAAAAAAATAGAAAATCATACGAAATAGAATTACAGCGTCATATAGAATAGAACATAGCAATATAAAATTTCCATATTTTGCACAATTTTATTTAGTTCTGTGTAAAAACTGAACCGTCTAAAATACGTTAAAAATGTGTAAAATGTCTAAATAACGTCATATATTTTTCTTAATGTACTGTCAAAGTATACATATCTTTAATTTATTTTTTTATATTTAAACCTAATTTTTGGTAATGGTGAATAATCTCGATAATGCTGCGCATTTGTGATTTTTAATTACATGATATTCCTTTCGAGGATCTTCTAAATAAAATTAGAAGTTTTGTCGATTCAGCATATTAAAATCCATGTAGTAAAGTTTATTAAACGTTCTAGTTGTAAACAGAGTCCTATCATGATAACTAAAAATTCTGCGTGGTTTTATTAAAATGCGTTTAACTATATACACAAACGTTTTGTTGATACAATAAAACCATTTTTCTCAATACATTTTTTAGAAATTTTTAAAAAACATTGTTTTGAAAAACAAAATATTTTTTAGAAGTGTAAAAGATATCTTTTTGATAAAGGAGATCTTTTTATCAAATAATTGTTTTTTATAATAGCTTTGTGTCGATCCTCGATATGTCTGTCTTATCGAAGTTTTTATTTCGATCTTTTTCTTTTGGTTTTCGATCTTTGTCTTTTTAATTCAATTAATGAGGTTAATTAGACATGGTCTGTTTATGGCATCTGTCGATTTTGACTTACCTTCTTCATTTCAATGATAAAATTTCGAGAACAGATGTTCGATGAATCGAGCTTGGTACGCTCGAGTCCCCTCGGTTTGCAGAGATTTGTTTGC